ACACACACATATACCTACCACTGATTATCCTAAGTTTTAACTTGTAAACATTCAGTTTTAACTGAAGATGGCGGTTTAGCCTTTTTTTCTCCCCCTAAGCTGTCCTTTTATTCTTTACTCCTTTTATTTCCTCCCATACCATGTGGTTTGATGGGCAGAAATCATGAGAGATGAATTTGGCAGAGGGGGAAATCCCTACTAGATAACAGATGTCCAAAAAAAGCTGTTCTTGACAAATGCTTCTGATTTGTGGTTACCCCTGTGCTGGATAGGAGCGGGGATGCCTGGCTCAGAATCATTTGGATGAGGGGGAAGGCGGGGGAAGAGATGACAGTAGGATGTGATTCTGACAGTGGCATAGCCTGGCATTTGTCCTACATTAATGATTCTATTTTGCTGTGTTTGTATTTTCTAGGTACACCAGAGGCTTCCTCCATGGCTCAGTCTGAGAGTAGTCTATTGCAGTACTGTAGTGCCCTCTGATGGTGAGTGTGAGCAAATACTTCTTGGTTTTATTTTGACTTGACTTTCCCTCTTTTTGATGGTTTTGTCCCCTCCCCCTGCGATGTAATCCAGTTTATTTCCACAGGCCGTAAAAGACGAAATAAAACGTTAATGTAGCAGTGGCACAAAATGCTATTCATGGAGTGGCTTGCTTCAAAAAAAAAATGCTGTGCTCCCCTACCCTTTCCATTGCTGAAGGTTTGGAGAAATACACACACAACATCTTCCGAGGGTGCCCATTCCTCTGCATATTCCCTAGTTATATTCTAGTCATTGCAGTGTACCCTTCTTCTGGGAAGAAGGGAGGGAGAAAGCTAGAAATATCTTGGTTCAACATCATTTGCTTTTCTTGGCTTGAGAAGAGAGAGTAGTTGTTGGCCTTACAGAGGGCACTATGTTAATTTCTCAGAAATCATATTTTCCCTCCACTTCAATAGCCCATGAGAACAAGGAGTTTTCAAGGTCACTCGCATACCTTCTTTCAGATTTCTCTGTAACTATGTCGTTAAACCAAACCTGGTTCTACCCCCTCCCCCCCACCCCCCCGAAACAAGTGCAGCACTTTACTTGTACTCCAGTCTTCATCTTTGTACCTCCCAAATATCCCCTGGCCTCTGCTTCTGTTACGTTATTCCTTCCAGAACATCTGTATCATTTGAAATAGCTAATGGGGGGTAACTAATCAGTAACTCCCTTTCTTTTCCCTTGGTACATACTTACAGGTAAACTGTATTTTACCTGAAAACAGATGTGCTATACATCCCAAGAGAATAAAAACTGGTATTGAAAAACTTTCAAGTTAGAAACTGAAAATAAGGCACACCTTCTAAACAGTGGTTGAATAATAGTACATCAGAGAAGTGCCTGCATCATGTTTATAACAGGTTGCCTACATGCCAGAATCTTAAGGAGTGCAGTATATTTATTATACAAGTTGGAATGACCATTTAAACTGCAGGTTTGTTATGTACATGCAGTGAAACACGTGCTTACAAGTCAAAGGGGAGAATCTGAAATTTTCTACAATTCATCCTTGTAGTTCCAAGCTAAAATCAGTAATAAATCCATCCATAGGATTTTCCCCTCCTTTCTTCCTCCACAACTTAAATAGATGAGAATTCAGATATGGCATTAGCACAGGTCCTTGAGAGATCTTTCAGGTGGCTGCATGTTTTTAAAAAAATACCATCTTTGGAGAGTACATTTGAAGTAACTTCCTAGAAAAGGTAGTTGTGTTAATCAAAACTTGCAACACAACAAGTGTTCTAAACTGCAAGTAGCACCCAGAAGTATTTCGTTAACCAGTGCTTTTACTAAGTTGGTAGACAAACTAAAAAGTAATTTTAGCAAAGATTTAATTTGTTTACAAAGTATTTCCAATATCTGGTGGGGTTTTTTTTTGTTTGGTTTTTTTTTTTACAAATAATAGGTTTAAGAGAAGAACTTAACTGCCCTGCAAAAATTCTAAGTTTTCTGACACTCTTGGGTACTGTACACTTCATAAACTCCAATTATGCCATTTACATCAAACGGCTGGAAATACTTGGCCTTTGCCTTCATAATGCATTCATTATTAAAACTATTCATACTTTTTATGTAAGAACAAAGGCTTTAACACTTGCTCAGACATCATATTTTTTGGTGTCATGATGTGTAACATAAGGCAAAGGACTATCTTGCTAAAGAAGGTAATGCTTTGTGAAAGCCTTGGTATGACAAAATGCATACCATAAAGTAGAAACAGCTTCCACATTGGTCTCTGCTTAGTGTTCATGTACCACAAGTAAAGCATAGGTAGAAATGCTTGTCCCAGATAATCTAGTTTGCTAATGAGAAAGGTAATTGCTACTTTTCAGATACAAACTTATTTGAAATTTGTAGAAGAAAAAGGCATCAACCAAGATTGGGCTCTGAGTATGTAGAATAAAACCTCTGCAGAGAAAGATCTAGGAGTTACAGTAGACCATAAGCTGAATGACACGATAGTGTGCTCTTGATGGAAGGAAAAAAAAAAGCAACAGCGTACTGGGTTGTATTAACAAGTGTTTCTTGCAAATCAAAGGAAGTGATTGTGTTGCTATATTTGGCAGTAGTAAGTCCTCACCTGGAGTTGTGTCCAGCTTTGGGTCAAGCACTTCATGAAAAATGTGGACAGATTAGAAAGAGTCCAGGGGAGAGTGACAGAAATGGTTAGCCTGGGAGGCAAGACTTATGAGGAGAGGCTGAAAAGGCTGGGATTCAGTATGGAGAAGAAGACTGAGGTGGGACTTGATAAGCAGGGATCCTGGTTTTCCCTGATATAAAATTGGAAATTGTCTGATTAAAAAAAATCTCAAATTCTCAAAAAAAAAACCCCCAAAACACATGCACAAAACCTGCCCCCTTCCCCCCCCGATTAAAATTAAAGGCTCCCTACAGTCTCCCTCCCCCCCAGCCCTTCCCATTCTCATTCACCCCCACAACCTTGCTGGTGCCCCTCGTCCCCCACCCACAGCCCCTGCTCCCCCAGCCTGGCCGAAGGTAGCTCTGTTGTGGGGGGGCGGGGAGGAGGCTAGCTCCCTGCCATGGTGCACACTCCCGAGGGGGCAGGGGGGACCCGCACCCTTCAGATCTGTGCATTGGGTAGGCACAGGCTTCTGCCCTGCTGCCCTCCCCCAGGGCCTCTGCAGCCCGGCAGGCACGACCCAGCGCACAGGGCACAGAAGGGCCGCACGGAGAAACTGGCTGCCACTGCAAGCTCTGCATCGCCCTGGCAAAACACCTTCTGCATGTGGGGCTGCAGTGAGGGCAGTGACATGAGGTTGCACCCGTCAAAGCAGCCCTGTACGCAGGAGGCACATTGCCAGGGCAGTGCAGAGCTCACAGCTGCAAGCAGCTTCTCTGCGCAGCCCTGCCGCACCAAATCGCACCCGCTGGGCTGCAGAGGCCCCGGAGAGGGCAGCAGGGCATAAGCCTGTGCACATGGCCCGGGCCTGCCCTGCGCACAGATCGGGGGCAGGGGATACAGGTCCCCCTGCCCTCCTTGGGGGTGCACACCACCACGGAGAACCAGCCCCGCTCTACCAGCGTGCAGGGGGCTCATTGCAATACTGGAAAATCCATGGGTTTCTTACTAAAACAATCTGCGTTTGCCTCCGGCAAAAGGTAAAATCCGCTGTTTACTCCAGTTTTCCGTGGGAAACAGAAAACCCGGATCCCTGCTGATAAGTATTCAAATACCTGAAGGACATAAAGAGAATGAATATGGGATTTTGGTATTTTCTCTATGGCTGTAGGGCACAGGATTAGGAGGAATGGACTCAAGCTGCAGCAGAGGGAATTTAGTTTGGAGATTAAGAAAAACTTTCTCACTGTGAGGGTGATTAGGCTTTGGAATAGGCTACCCAAAGAGGTTGTGAAATCTCTATCCTTGAATACTTTAAAAAACAAGTGAAATAAACACTTGACTGGGATAGTTTAGTCAGGAGTACCCTCCTTGAGCTGGATGTTAGACTAGATAACTTGTGGAGGTCTCTCCTAGCTCTACTTTTATATGAATAAGTGAATTCTGATTTTAGTTTCTTTTTCACATTGTATGTAGTATTTCAATCTTTATTTCTTGAAGTAATTTTGTGGAATGTACAAGCAAAATAACATGTATATTAAATTACCTTTTTGACTTGTACTCTATGTAAGTATAATTTTTTTTAAAGAGTAATCCAAAGTAATGTGACAAATATTTTTTTCTTCATGATTATGCCTGTCAGTCCTCATACTCATGTGCTACAAGGCGATCAAAAGCCTGGGCATGGTGAAGGTAGCCCAGCCAGTATGGAACATCTCATCATTTAACTATTAAACAAAGGTATGATAGTGTTACTTCTTCAGTCTGTGTCGGGACTATTGAGATGTCCAAGTCTATCCCCTCCAAAACAGTTTGACCTGGCCGGACCTACAGTTACCAATCAGCCCTGACCCACTTGAATTATGGTGCTTTCATAGTTGTATAAATTACATTGGAAATTCTTGAACCGTCTTTCATCTATGGTAGCAACAGTAGGACTTCTAGTTTAGATGCATTGCCTGTATTTTTATCACTGACATGTAGAGTGATTTCGAATAGGATTAGGCAAAATGGTGGTGACAATTCTGGTAGTACATACTACCATCAGTGCTAACAACAATAATGCTACATTTCATATTAGTGTAATAGTAGGAGACTACCAGAAGGCTGCCAGCTTTCACATCATATGAAACTGTTTTTCATCAGAGTTTAGGATGGTGGATGAGGTCAACTAGCTATGATATCAAACTGATTTTCATTAAAACACTGTTGAGATTAAACAAGTTCCAATACACAGTAGTTTTCTGTGATCACGTATAAAAGTTTGTATTGCATTTTGTGCATGCCAGTACATATACTGACCACAAGACCAGTGCAGATATTATTTTCCTACTGTAAAAAGACTGGCCAATCATAAATTCCTTTCAAAGCAATATTTTACATTAGAAAATCATTAATTTAGCTCATACTAGCCTATAGACTTTTATTGCCCAAACAGTTACGTAGAAGAGAGCGCAAACACTTTATAGCCATGTCAAAATTGTAAATAAGCTAAAATAGTTGCTAGCATAGAATTTAAAATGATACTTAATGGTTCAAATAAACAATGCTCTCCTAGATGAATTTCATTTGATACATTTGGCTCTGTTTTAAATTTTCAGAAATGAGCAGTCATCCCAAGCTGTGCCCCCCAAAATATTTTTCAAGCATATAGCCTTTCAGAGACCAGTTGTTGAATTCTTTCTGTAAAATTGGATCTCTGTAAGGTACCATACTTCAGGTGCCAAAAAATCACTAGTTATTTAAAATGTTAGTTCTGCGGTATGTAAAAGTGAGATGGAAACCTCTCAGTGGCAGTATTGGGTGTTCAACTGGAAAAGAGAATGCCTTCTTTGTCCCTCATGTTTGTTGCCAGACCCAAAAGCAGAGATACGGTAACAAACATGTAAACCTGAGAGAATGTGTTTAATCTCCCAGCTGATAGATACCAACTGTGTCCATCAGATTCATTCATCCAGTAAAATAACTGAGGGCCAGCAGCCCCAAGCACAACCTTTGGGAGAAATGGGAGAAAAATAGCCATAGTCAAATCTGTCCCAGACACAGAGCTGCCCTTTTACACCTCTGCATCCATCTATCTTTTCCATCGTTAAGAACTAAAAGCAATACAAACTCTTCCCTGTGTAAACTTATGCAATTAATTGCAGGTTGTATCTAACTCTAAATTCAATAGTGAAAGGCAGGGTCTAATGGAAGAATTTCACTGATAATTTCCTTCGTGTAGTCGGTCCTTTTCCTTCATTGAGGCAGTCCCTTCACTCAGCCTGTATGTGATCTGATATCTTCTAAATCTGACAGAATTTTAACTTGAAAAGAAGTTATATATTGCTTCCTTTCACTGAAGGGCAAATACTGTTTCCTGAAAAAATAGAGCATTTTAGGAAGTTAATGGAATTCAGGCAGGATTATTTTACAACTGCTTAAATGAGTTTATTTTGACCAACCTCACACTTTGCATATAAATGTCATAATCAACAGCCACTAACCCCATTTTCTTAGCAGAACAAGCAAAGTATTAAACCTGTGACATTTCACTGATATTTTTTTTTTAATTGTACATCTGAATACCCTGATAAAGTTTAGTAAAGTCAGAAAAAGAAAGCTGAACAAAACTTAGCAAAACAAATACTAGCTTAATCAATCAAATAACCCAGCTCATAGAAATCCAAGAACTTTAAATCCTGGATTTTATCCAAAGGCAGCTCGCAAATCGTTTGGAGTTGATGGGAAGATATTTCCAAGCACTTATTGGAACAGAAAGATACAAAAGTTCTGGTTTTCCCAAAGATGCTTTTCTCTAAAAGCCAAGGAATGTAACCATATGCCTCTATGAACAAGTTAGTTTATGAAGTACTGCCCTGCCCTGGTCTGCAGTCTCCCTAACCTAGAGAAGTAAATTTACCTTATAAAAATTACCCTCAAGGAGAGGGGAAGGTTGTGTTCTGGCAGTAATTCATTGAATATGGTCCAAGGAACTAGTTTGTAACATCTATGAAGCAGTAATATGATTAGTTAGTAAACAATATTGTTGCAAAATTTGAATTGCAAAATAAGTTGCAGTAAGTATTTGTATTGCTTCTGAATTCTTGAAACAAACAGTTCATTCCTACCTCACTAACGAGTTCTTTCTTTGTGCAAAATAAAAAGTTAATTTTATTACAGGTTTGCCATCTTTTTTAGTTTTGGGGTGGGGGCTGTATCGATATATTTTACTTCATGGCTGAGTAGTCTTTCTCAATTGTAGCAAATAATTATTTATGTTATTGTTAACTTTCTTAGCTTGGTGCTTGAGGATTGTGGTATATTTGCTAGAAATTCATGATAGCTCAGTTACAGCAACAGCATAGTCTTTTGATGTGTTAGGGGAGCTCTTGGACCTTATAACCATCACCATGGGTGCTTTACCCCTTGCCATTGTACTGACTTGTAAGGTATAAGCTTCCACTTTTCTCCAGTGAACATGATTAACTCTTTTTTCCCCCTCCAGTGAGCATAATTATTAACTCTTTATTGTAAAATTGTGGCTGAAAGCTGGTATAGGCATTAAACCAGTTTCTGTTCGCAGGATTTAAACTGATTTTAAAATATGTCCAGACAAGAAAGCTACATCAATGTAATTTATTTAAATTAGTGAATTTCTGTGTGTACCAGAAATAAGACACCAGTAGGTAAATTAATATTGGAGTTGGCTTGTGCTGTAGGATATGAGACTGTACCTTTGGACATGATAAATGCTGTACACTGAGGGGGAAAAAACAACTCTAAGCATTTTTATATTACGAAAACACAAAGCAGCAAGAAGGAATTAATTGTCATATTTTATTAAAACTATAGACACTGTTAGTCAGCACCTGCTGTATCTGGAAAACTTGGTTAACTAATTATGATGGTATTGAAGGGCATTTGGTTTTACTCTTTCTCCCTCTTTCAGGGCTCTGTTCCTGTATGTGAACAGTCCGTAACACAATGTCAATGCTGCCCTGTTGAAAATAAAAGGTTGATCCTATATTTGGAGACAAGATACGTCTCAAATCCTTCTGTAGCTAAAATACCTAAGTGTTTGAAAATACGTCTTTATCAGTACCTTGGCATATGAAATAGTTGTCTGTAAAAAGTATTTTTCTCACCCGTCCCTATTAATTTGAGTGATATATAGCTACCAATAAGCATTAGGTTGAATACTATCTCCATGGTACCAGTATACCAGCTAATCCTACTCTCTGTAAATATATTAATTCAGTACAAAAATACATTTGATTAGAGTTAGAACATAAGGGTTCTGGTTCTCTGGAAGTTGTGGAGTGATGTGGTGGATGTGATGGTTAAGGTAAGGATCTTTGTGGGTGGTATCGTTTATTGAACGGCACCAAGTGTTTCGTTGATTCATAAAAACAAAAATTAAACTGTGGTCTATCTCTACTCCTGTAAATTACCATGTACGTCTATCTAACAGCTACACTTTGTACACTCTTCAAAAAACATAATGCACTTTGCTTTTTCCAACCAAGTGCCAAAAACTTAAATAGATTCTGTGAACTTGTGGAAAAGGAGAACCTTGGATACCATTCAATACTCAGATGTGAGAAATTATATTTGATGCACTCTTAATTGCACGTATGATGAGTTGGCACATATATATTGATATCTCAGCTCTTCATATGCACAATAAACAGTAACTTAAACTCTTGACTTAAATTCTCATTTTAACCACCCCTCACCCTTGCCCTGTCTACACCAGACAGATAAGATATAGGATGTGACAAAGGTCTGTCTTGTACTGCATATTTAGAAGTAGTTTGTCTTGAATCTAATATTCTTTTCCCTAGAAGTAACAGTGGTTTACCAAAACGGGTTACCTGTGATTTCTGTGAATCTTCCATCCCGGCGTGAGCGTTGCCAGTTCACACTTAAGCCTATCTCAGACTCTGTTGGAGTGTTCTTACAGCAGCTGCAGGCAGAAGACCGGGGAATTGACCGGGTCGCAATCTACTCATCAGGTACTTATACAGACTGTTTGCTCACATGCCAGTCACTGGCCCACCCATCCTTTCATGACTTAGTTTCTTTTCTTTCTGAGTTTAAGGCTTGAAGCACTTTTGTGGAAATGGTCTCTAGAGTAGGAGGATTCTGCTTTTGTCTGCATGGTCATATATCCTATGGGCAGACTGGCCAATATTGTACTTTACCTTGAAAATCATTTTAACACTGGGACTATAGCTGCTTTCTTTCCATCTAATTCTCAGAAGTGAATTATAATGAAAATTATTTAGAACGGAAGCATAATAGCCTATGCTGCAACATTTATCACTGCAGTTATGTGGCTGTATCAGCCTAAAGCACTTAATTTCTCAGCATTGTTCTGTATATGAGGGTTTATTTTGAAAAGATGTGAAAGTGACAAAGAATAGCTGGGCGCTAATATCCCAGAATGAAAATCCTTTTATTAAAAACAGCAGATCCAAGTACCAGAGGCCAATTTCAAAAGGTTGTAATATGAAAATATATCAACAGGTATCAATATTTTGTTTTTCCTTTCTCTCTTGAGGTGTGTGTTTGTTTTTGTCCCCTCCCTCCACACACACTCATACTCACACTCGCACACTCTCTGAAAATCAGGCTTGCTCTATAAAACTGCTCAGTCATAGCGTCTACACTGAAACATTAGGCTACTTTTAGGAGGTCTTTTTGTTAAAGAAATAAAAATGCAATCATGGGCCATGTCTAACAGGGTAAACTGACCTGTGCCTAGAAGGACTATATGAAGCTTCAGTAACCAATTCGATTCGGAGGAGATTCGGCCCGATACGGGGACCAAATCTCCAAATCTGAATCGAATCGGGAGACCATTTAAAAGCTCCAAATCAATTTGAAGTATCCGACTAAACAGGCAGCTGACAGTTGCCTCCAGCTGGTAAGTCTGTTGGGGTTGGGGTAGGTAGAGGGAAGGGGTGTGGGGGAGGGAGGGCTTGGGGCTGGGACAGGCTGCCCAGCTGGGCACGTTACTCAGGAAGGGGGGCAGGGGGGTGCAGGATGTGGGTGCGGCAGCAC